AATGCTCCAATTTATTCATTTAAACATTCGTTTGCAGATATTGGAATAGTCAATGGGGAGTATCACCAGCAGTCGATAATCAGTGGGCATGCTTCGCGCAAGTATTTATTTACCGTGCATTACATATGTGACAATTATTCACTTTTAGATAACGCTGAATGGAATTATTGCTCTCACTAATCTCTTCATTGACAGAGATTTAGTAATATTACGGCGAGGAAATTCACATTTTCAATGAAATTATCCGGTGAGTACTCCATTCGGAATTCGCTAGTTAGGATTTTGCGAATTAGGAGCTGTATTTCTTTTCAAATCCGATATATTCGTGATTGTGAGTATCTCGTGGTGGCTGGTATTGATCCTTCAAGGCATACGCTGTTTCCAAAGTATTCTTAGTCACGAGGTGTTCCTTTAACAGACTCGCTGCTTGAAGATATTTGAGTTGCACGAAATCTCCAAAAAATGAAGCTCCAATCGTTTGTTGAATGATTACTCATGGAGAAGACGGAAATATTTGCTTGTCTCTGAACGATTGCGTCCCGCCAAATTCGTCCAGACTGGTCCTTCTTTAAGAGTGCTTCTCCTTTAAAGAATTTCGTGGATCCCCCGTGATAATCTCCTCGGCCACCAATCTTTCGCAATCCTGGTGCTCCCCCTGAAAGAATCCATTCAGCTCCACATACTCCCGGCGATAAGCGACTAGATGGATGGATAGTTTTACAGATTATTCACCCTTGGATGATGATCCGACACACCTTCTCGGAATATTATCATAAATAAAAGACTTATTCCTACTGTCGGGCTACCAGTCTTTTCATCTTTGATGTCCAGTCATGTGAGATTAGGAAAAGTTATGAATCATGAGTCTCGTTATTGAAAAATTCTGTGTTAATCACTGCACACAATTAATCATAACTTGGATTATATTATATTACGAATCAACGACTCACGATTCCTGTCATCAATCAATTATGAGTCATCGGCACATATTTTCGGTCATCGATGAATTGTGAGTGGATTATGAGCCGATGACTCATAATTCTTGGCTCCCAATTTCTATTATCAAGAAACGATGAGTCAATCAACACTCATAATTACCCATAATTCTTACTTATTAAAATCCAATGACTCACAAATGCTGTCTCAATTCATTGTGAGCGATCGAATCACAGCTTTAAAAATTAATGAATTATGAGCCATTGACTCATAATTCTGATTATTAACTGGAAATATTCCTCATCGACGACTAATGAATCGATCATTACTCACAATAACTTATAATTTCGACTTACAACTGCTCGGAAAGCAAAACCACGATACTCCACCCGCAGACTCCATCAAATTTCTCATAATCCTAGCGCTAAGCGAGTAGACGAATGGATAGTTTTACAGATTATCCACTCTCTGATGATCATCCCCTAAATATCCAACACACCACCTCAGCATATTATCATAAATAAAGAACTCATCCTTCCTCCCTCACTGAAACTACTCCCAACTTAGATGCCAAGTCATGCAAAACTATTTCCCAAGGAGCAGCAGCAGCAGGACGGAAAATCTCGGGTGCAACGTGGGCTAAAGAGTAACAGAAACTAAGGAGACACTGTGGTACGTACTTGGCATGGTTTACCACTGCTGTCCCCCTCTCTCTCCCGCCCATAGTCATCCCGAAGGAGACAAAGGGAGATTTGGAGTTAGTGCCGACACGAGTACGTCGTTTGGTATGTACGGTATATATATCTGCATCATCTGCAGCAACAGTCCGTGAAGCGTACGAGCATCCCCCCTCTCCCCAGTTGCAGAGGGTGAAACGCGAGGGGAAGAACATTCTTACTCTGGCTCCTCTCGATATACGCTGGATTACGTCAAACCCCGGGCGTAACATCCGGCGTCGGGAAGTTTCCGCCTGAGACTTTGGAGATCCTAGTTTCACCCTTGGACTGGGTGTGTACGGAGTAATTGCACTTCAACGATGAGGACGTGGTCTTTCGAGTCAGCCCAGAAGAGTGAAGGGATGAGGGATTCTGGTATAACCCAGACATTTTCAGAAGTTTGTAGAGTGGGGTATGAACTGCAGAATTCTCTAGGTTCTATCACGTGATGCGGAAAAAGAGTTGATGGGGAGAAAGCTCAGACGAGACACCAATGAACGATTCTGACGGTGGGTAAACGGGCGTGAATAATTCGCCGTGGGCCTTTTCTCTAAGGGATTAAACGGGGGGGAGGATGAAATGCACTTCAAGATGATGGAGATGGGGATGAGGAGGAGGCAAATGCATCGTCAAAGGATAGAAGCAGAAGAGAATCAAACCCGTATGAGAGTCCAATAACCGATCGAAAATCCTCTAGTCGTCTATCTTTACTCGGTGGGAGGATGCTAGGGCACAGAAGGTCTAGCAATTTATGGAGGTATATACATGTGGCTCGCCTTGCCGAAGTGGGTACCAGCAAAATCCTTTGGCCAGTCAAGCTCATATAATCGTTCTTCAGAGGTTCCTTTTTTTTACTTCTTCTCGTTATTTTTCATCGTAAGCGTCTTCTCACTCTCCTCGGGAGTATTTTTCTTTTCCTCAAGGCCTGCCTTCCTTTATCCCGCTGGGGATGCGCTCACCCACGCGGAAATCATAGCACGTCCCATCGGTACGCGAAATCATCTAGAATTCAGGATTGCTGGAGCTCGATTCCTGTTGCGAATTGAAAGGGTGGAAAAGTTTTTTGCAAAATGATGCGTGTTTTCGTTCCTTTCAGGATTTCTTGGGGAGCTATGGCGATGGTCTTTCTGAAGGTAATGCTACATATCCGGGGATTATGGCACTCATAGGGTTGACGGGTTTCAAGGACGACGTTACACCCTCTGAAATTTGTCTGCAATTTTCGGAATCTTGGGTGAGTGTATGGCTGTTGAAATGGCAACCGATCATCATCATAATTTGCTGATAAAAGTTGCGTCAATCTGGCTTCTTGTCATGGATCAATAGCTGATCATTCTCAACTTCGAAAATAGAGTTGATCAGGTACCCTCGAGACATATTGTGCAAGTTTTTGTGAGAAACTTTGCATGCGTCATCCAATTGGATGTTAACTCCATGACATATCGATGAAGTCGCAAATGCTCCAGAAAGAGTATTCATTCCAATCGATGTGGACATGGTTTTATACTCGCAAGAACTTTTAAAACTTCCACCAGGTGCTTCCGATAATTGGATTAACTATGTGCCATTTCTTTTTCGTCCACACACTCCCTTTCACACTCTTGAAGACGAGTAAATCTAGAAAGTCAATAATCAGATGAGGGATCTTCTTGAACTCTCATCTCACAGGACTCAAATTTTATGATAAATTTTTGCTCAGAGAGTGCAAATGCGTTAGGACTTCAATCTGTTCACTCGACTACATTTCCCGTATCAAGAAAATTCATTCAAATCGATTCGTCTCTGGGGCTCTCGATGTTGTAAGGAGAATTGTGATACTGAATACCCAACGAATGGCCCTAGAGGTGGGTCTCAGAGAAGTTGAAAACGACGAGAAGAATAGAGCTCACCATAGAGTGTTTCGTATAGGTGTATATCGGCACGGGGATCTGGAGTAACGGTAAAGAACGAGTTTGATACCAGGGAAGCAAGATTTCTGAATGGGTAAAAGATATAGTTTGATGTCGAATAAGAGAGAAGCTGAGTGGGAATGGTATTGGATGTCACCGCGATGGAGATTACGCGCAGTGGCTTTTCAAAGAGACTTCTGATACTCTACTCGACATTGACAATTTTATTCTTCTCTGGATGGCAGGGGTAACCCTTTCAGAAAATATTCTACGGATGGTTGCTATTGAAATTTTATGAATAAAAATAAGGATTTCAACGTTGTTGGGGGGTTTATGATGTACCTGAATTCACCGGTGAATGCGGAAAGTTGGAGTTTTTGGAGAAGTTGGATGCTAGTTTTCCAACGAATTTAATATTTTAATTGAATTCTAAATTTTGCAATTTTGCAAATGGAAGTTTTACACCCGAGTGGATGGACTCGGCTGCATGGATATGAACATAAACTTTCGGTCAATATTTGCGCGAGTTGGGGAATCGATTCACTTATGGGAAATCAATCGTACAAATGTTTCCTAATCTTCATAGATGGATGTGTCAACATTGCCGTCGAAAATGGGCAAGCGGTAACGGGAGTTGCATGTTTAGTTTCATTTTCAGTTTCATTTGTCATCACTTATTGTTATTCCTCAAATTATTATGAGGAGATTACTAGAGGGGGGGGGGGACGAAGCGACTATCGATAGCTCCTCAAAAATAGTGTCAACAATTCAACACGACTATTGGAATGAATTGATGCCCGCAATGTGAATGTATTCGAGCACACGATTCCTCCGCCAGAAAAAAATATCTATATGGATTATATGTGAAAAAGGTTGATAGGAAACGATGGGGATGAAAGATTCGATATATTACGCGGTGGGAAAATCCGATATTTCATTCATTCAGGGGCTTCCCGTGGACCCCTATAATGGCCGACGTTTTTTCATACTATTTTTTATATTCACTTCATACTTCTCGGTTTTATCATTGAAATAATTTCCTCTCTCTCTTCATTTTTCGTTTCCCGGGAGTTTTTTTTGTTCCTATTCCGTTGCTGAAAAAAAAATTGCGGACAATGAGGGGAATATTTCTCGGTCTCGTTCTCAGCTGCAGTCACCTTTTTTTTCAAGACGCAAGGGTGGGGATTCAATGCGCCCTTCTTCTCATGTTGTAAACCAAGAAAATGCTACTGATGGTATTTATCTTTCCCTTATCCTCGACACGCATTATGGTAATTACCAATTACAAGCCCGCAGTATGAACCAATCCATTATCTGAGTCATGCTCGTTAAATGCTGGATGTATTGGGGATAGTTACACTTCATCAAAGGGAGAAACCATTAATAAACGTTAATGTAATCAGTTCAATTGTAAATAAACGAGTTGTTGGTGGATTGGGGGGGAGAGGAGAGTACTCACCTCTGTGCCTGCTGGTCTGCTTGTCGAACATCAGCATGGCGTCCTCTATCTGTAACAAATGTAAATATTTTTTGTCATTTTTTTAAAATCTAGAATCACCTTTAAAATTTAATCAACGTTTTTCAGTCTTTTTTTATTGTTGTTAAAAAAAATTAGAGGGTATGTTGTTGAAAAAATATATAAGATCATCTCAAAAGATGAATTTTCGAGATGAGATAAACTGAGATAAGACAAGATGAGAAAGATTTTTTTATCATGTATCGGTTATAAAAAATGTTGGAAAGAAATGCAGAGAAATATTTTTGCGATAATATGAAAAATTATCTTGAAAATGCGCACTCAAGATAAGATGAGATGAGGTGACTTATCTCGAAAATATCTTGAAAGAGAGCGCATATATATCATCTCAAATATATCACGTCTGGTGACAGTTTCAGAAAGAGAAAGATGACATAAGGTAGTGTGGGATGAGATGCATTTTTGAGGTATCTTAACCAAAAATCGCAAAGATAAATTCATAAGCTATTTTAGTATTCCTCATAATTTTGGTGTGATGAAATGTTTTTCAACGTCATAACCCCGAGACATCATTAATCCATATATGTTCCATCATCTCTCCATCGTTTCATTTTCCCGTAACGTCAGCAGACAGGGCTTCGGTGACGCGTCAGACAGAGGGCGCGGCCTAGACACAACCCCGTCGTCGAATGGAGAACCCTATTCGGAAGCCACTTCACTTGTAACCGAGTGAGTACGAAAACGTAGATGGAAAAGGGAAGACGAGGGAGGACAGGGGGTTGAGGATGATGGGTTAGGGGGATGGTATACACTGCGTGTGTGGCCCGTAAAGCACAGCTGGCACGAGATTTACGAAGCGTACTGCTGAGGAAAGTCGATGGTCCGGGGGGGGGAGG